CCATTTTTTCGAGAAATCCATTTTCTCGACAGCACTCATACAACAATGCGTCTAGAGTAGGTCTTTCCATATAGCCTAAGAAAACATTTGCAGCAAGCAGCTTAAATCAACCTCAGATCCCGACCACCTTGGTCTTGGCACCTCAGTCGTATGCAGCAGTTCAATGGTTTGTCCAACGCTGCACACCTAGTCAATCAAAACCCAATCTACCGTCAGCTCGTCAGCCAAAACGCAAAAGCAGGAACATAGACAAGATCAGCGCAATGCCATCAGCGTTGTTGCAGCAGCATCATCGCAGTTGTTGTAGTGGCGTGCACGGTGTTTGTGGTCTTTGTTCTCAACTGGGAGATTTTAGGATTTTGGGGCTTTGTTTTAATTTAGGACGTAATTAATACGGGTTTATGTGATGTTTAATAAGTTTAGGGTATTAATCTAATTGGGTTATTTTTTAGAGTATGGGGCCTAATTTCCTCACAAACAACTGCATGTCATTTTCAAATGGCACAATAATTATGGCCCAATAAACAATTAGTAATCATTTTCAAATTGACTCTGTTTTGGGAACAACACACGAAAATGAAATTTATCAAAATAGTCATCTTCAACCCCCCGCCAAGTCGAAAACGACTCGGTTCAGATTCACCTCAAATTCAACCTTCCCAACATGAAATCTCAAGTTTAAAAACTCACATAGGCTAGAAAAATGATTTACTTGAGAAATCTAAACTTTAATTTCCAAAAATATTGCGGCCAAAAAAAATCGAGTTTTGCAGATTACTTGTAAAACACCGAGACAGAGGTTATGTGTGGCTCTGATACCAAATGTAAGACTGCAAATCGATCCAAAGCAATTAAATAGAAACAAATTGGATCAAGAAAGTCGAAGACCTATAGATCCGGTGCATACCTCCAACTATTAGTGATATTTCACAAGCTCTTATTTTCTTTAGGTTTTGGCATATCTAAGCTCTCTAAACACTTTGAAAATGATAGTGTATGATATGTATTTGCAGTGTTGAGCTTAGGGACCAAACCACTTTATATATAGCTAAGCTTTCATCAAGCTATGGCTTTCGTTACCAATTTTGCCAATCCAATCAATGGGAATTTTTTTTGAAATTGAAACTTCATGAATGTTGGACCACATTAAGAAAACGGATCAGTTACATTCGATCCTACTACGTGTGAATAATGTTGCTTGCATATTAGTGTGTAGATAGATGACATGGAAGAGAGAGAAAATACAATAATTGAGTTTCTTTTCTTTTCGTCTACATGTACATTTGATATCGTTTCATAAAAATTGATCTTCACTTAAAGAATCACTCAACCACAATAATTTTATAAAACAATATAAAGCTTTATAGTCTCGTATCTCTATGAGTTAAACTTGTATAGTTCTTCAATTTATGAATGTGCGATTAAAATTAATAAAATATTTATAAATCTGTATTTAAATGTAGGTTTAATTTATTGAAATTTGTATTTCCAGTATTTATAAAAACATTTAGAAGCATGCCTTGAAAAACAAAGGGATAAACTTGAAAAATATTTCCCTTATAACTTTTACTTTTTTATTTTACATTGAGTAAAATGTATCAGTATTACTGTTATATTTATTTTTAAATTTTTACTCTGTTTTCTTATTTTACATTTAGAAACACGTACGTGTTACTATTTTACTTAATTTTTTGTTATTTTATTTTACATTTCAGTAAGACACGATGTTATATCGTTAACTTACTTTGAATGGAATAAATGGGCTTCGGATCAATTTTTTTCCTTCTTTAAAGTTTTATACCACTATCAAATATGCAATAACTCCCTTAAATCCTTCCCCACATTAAGTCCATGAGATCGATCACATACATAACCAGTTTAGATTGTATGATTAGATTATATTGTTCATACAATCACTTTTTTAAGGCTAGCCTAGCATGCCAAATGAAACAATCCAAAATAAAATAAAATAAAATAAAATAAAAAGAGTATAATACTTTTAATGAAAAAGTAGCCCAATAAGTTACTTGATCCAAAAATCCAAAAGTAGCGACTGATTATTGGGTTAGGGTTTTGATATATTATCTGAATTTTAAATAAATAAACTTTGGACCTGATTTTTAAAAAAACTATCTTTAAACCCCTGATTTTTTAAAAAAAACTATCTTAATTGTGACCTATAAATTTTTTGAATTGTGACCGTAAATTGTAAATCTGTGACCAGAATAGTCACCGGAATAATTGTCGGAATCGGAGGAGTCGTCGGAATGGTCGTCGGAGAAGAGTGGTGGTCGGAATGGTCTCAGGAGCGGTATGGGTGGTGCATGTGGGATGAGTTAATTATATTATATTAAAATTAAATGTTTAATAATAAATTGATTTAATAATTTATTATTTCATAAATAAATAAAAAACCTGATTTTTGAATTTTCAAATTATAAACATGATTTTTGAATTGGTGTAAAGTATACACCTTATTTATGAATTTTTCTCTTTAAATAATATTATTTGTACAATCTTTCTCTTCTATGTCATTATGGGTTTTTCCATTTGTAAAAATTGTTGACAGAAGAGGTTGATAATCTCTCATATGTGCGCGGGGCCCGCAAGAATTAAAAATTCCAAAAAAAAAGTGGGCCCCCATTGTGAGCATTCATTTAACCTCTACTGTCAACTATTTCGATACAAATAGCATGATTGATGTCATTATTCTGTACATCAATTTGTAAATCGTGATATACAAATACCATTACTCGAGAAATTAATCTACTTTGAGCTTCGAAGTTATCAAATAGAAAAAACCAAGACATTTATGAGGAAATTAAGACCAACAAGCAAATTTATGACTAGCTTAGTCACACAACACAATAATTTCTTTTAAATATATGTTACCGACATGTTACTTCAAAACATAATAATATTAAAACAATATCTTTCAAACACATACCAGCATCACAATCAACGTTACAAAATCCTCCAAATATACCAAAAATAGTCAAATACTATTAAAGTCAAATTAAATCAACAACGAGAATACATGTCAACAAATCAAAAATAAGAAAAAGAAAAAATCAAAATTCTCGTTTCACTATTTCAGCAAGAATGTTTGTTGAAATATTAATCTTAACGTGTCATTACAGGATAGGGAAATCATCAATATATCTTATAGTCAACCTAGTCGTTTGAATTTAATTTAAATAGATCGAATTAATCATTTGAGTTTTAGACAGATCAATTTATTTACTGATTTGAGGTTTTCTGGTTCATATCATAACATGAAGATCGATAATTTGAAACTACCAATCTCGAAATCCATAGATAGAATGAATCGTTCGTCGAACTTTTTGGGTTGCGGAATCAAATCTTAAAATATCAATTTTATAATTAAGTAGTCTGTAACTCTTGTCCTTTGTTTTTTTTTTTTTCGAAATTTTGAACTTACATTTCAACAAACATGAATGACTTTTGCATTCTAGATCATTCGTTTTAACCAATCCCAAATTGACTTATAATTGATAATGACTTATACAAATTAAGTGCTTTTCTGAATCATCTTGGTAGTGTCTCAATTGAACCAATTTCATTACAAAACGTGGAAATAACTAATCAAGTATCAAATAGACCTCAGAATTGGATCAACTTAAGCAAGCAAGATAATTCTCAAATTAATTCAAATTGCAAATCATTATAGTATAAAGAAACCATTAAGCAAGTAATTAGTCCCCCGATTAACAACTATTATTTTCAAACTCTTTCTTTTATATACTCATTTTCAACTACACATTCACACAATAAAATATTATGTACGTAAATCTAAAACATTTCTATACCTTTTAACCACACATTCTCTTAAAAATCACTATTCAGAACTTTATTTCCTCCAAATAATGGTTATCAAACAGGGGTTAAATATGTCAGCATGGCTCTTGGGGAGGCCCCACAAAACGATACGTATCCACCTAATCAAGTTGAACTTTGAAAAGTACAAAAAATTTAGGCCTTCTCTTCTCTATTTAAAATCAGATCTTTAGTAAATTTTGATAAAAATTGATGAGCCGTGGTGGTTGAAAAATTGTAAGTCCCATAAAATATATTATTAAAATTAATGGTTGACTTTGATTTAGATTAAAATCTTGAGCTATCTGTTCGTCTCAATTATGTTCCATATTTTTTAAAGATGGACAATTAACCATTCCAACCGGATTAGAATCATATTGAATCAATTGGTTATTTGGTTGGGATCAATTTTAATTTGAGTTTAAGTTATTTACATAAAAATTGATACGAATCAATGTATATCTAGATTGATAAAACATTTTGGTTACGTTAATCAAAAAGCATGAAAGTCAAATGAGAAAATTCACACAATAGTTTAAACTTTATAATTTATAGTACTGTTTAGGTCTATGTCTATGCTTAAATTGGGTACTGGGTATATTAGAATTAAGAATCGGCTATTTATGATTCGGTTATCGATTCTAGACACAGAATCGAAGAACTGAATCGGCCCTATTGTTTTTTTTATTTCTTTTCCCAAAAAGTCATCCCATAAAAATAAATATATTTTATATCTATAATTGCTATTTTGTATTGAAAATGAAAAGTCTGAAGGAGATGGTGGTTGATTAACGAATCCTTGACCTTGATCATAATTTTTAGAGTAATATTAGTAATCTTCAGTGGGGATGAAAACACAGTTTATGTGGTTTTAAATGATAAGTTAAATGAAATGTAAATTTTACTTATCATTTAATGTCACATTAACGTCATGTAGACTGTGTGCGTTACTTTAATTTTTAGTATTCGTATCTCATTCAACATGAAACCACAGAACTAGAAGTTCGTGCTCAACCTACTTGTCTCAATACTTTCGGTTCAGTTCTATTTACAAGATACCCGATAGTTCTCGACTTAGTTGATCGCGCCCACCTCGAATATAAATATATTCATTCATCACCTTCTCTCTCTCTCTCAAGCACACACAGACACAACTGCTGAAAATGAACATGCATGCTCAACAAGTTTCTTCTGTATTATCTATTTGGAATTATCTTCTAGTTTTTTCATTTCTTGCACACCCGTCAGCTTCTTCTCTACAATCTTTCATATATGCTGGTTGTTCTCAGCTCAAATACAACCCGGGTACGCCGTTCGAGTCGAACGTTAACTCAATCCTGGCATCCCTTGTTAACTCAGCTGCCTTATCAAACTACAACAATTTCAAGATTTCCCTCCCCGGCTCCGTCCAAAGCGACGTCGTTTACGGCCTCTTCCAGTGCCGCGGCGACCTCGGTAACTCCGACTGCCACGACTGCGTGAAGTATGCAGTGAGTCGAATTGGGACCCTCTGTGGTGGCGCGTCGGGTGGCGCGTTGCAGCTGGATGGGTGTTTCGTGAAGTACGATAATACATCATTCTTGGGTGATGAAGACAAAACTGTTGTGTTCAAGAGATGTGGGCCGTCGATTGGGTATGACTCAGATGTGTTGACTCAGAGGGATGCCTTGCTGACTTATCTGACGGGTGGAGGCCAGTATTTTCGGATTGGTGGGTCCGGGAAATCCCAGAGTATAGCACAGTGTGTACAGGATTTGAGTACGAGCGAGTGCCAGGATTGTTTATCCGAGGCGATCGGACAGTTGAAAACTGAGTGTCAATCTTCAACTTGGGGTGAGATGTTCTTGGCCAAATGCTATGCTCGCTTCTCGGAGCGCGGCTACTCCTCCAAAAGCGGTAAGCGTCTCCACCACCATGGCTGGTGGTTTCCGGCTTGTTCAAAAGTTAATCCAATCGATTAAATATTTGTTTTTGTTGATTCCAGATAAAGAAGATGATGATGACGACGACGATGACATGGAGAGAACACTAGCAATTACAATTGGACTCATAGCTGGTGTTGCCGTGATAATTGTTTTCCTATCTTTCTTCACTAAAATTTGTGATACTAAAGGTAAACTTCACCCTTCCTCCCTTTCTTTCAACAAAAGAAAATAAAAAATACAAGAATTCGTGTGCGATAGGAGCTACGACTTCCCTCTTCACTTAAATGATGGTGGACGAATGCCATGAAAAGATTTTCACATAAAATGATTTTAGCTCGATCCTACAATATCTTTCGATAAGCAATTAGTTAAATAGAAAAGCCGCGACATTTTCAATAATTTGTTAACATTGAAAGATGAAATGAACTTATGTTTTCTTTTTGTTTGCAGGTGGTAAATGAAGAACAATTTAGGGTTTATCTTCTACCTTTTTACTTTTGAAAAGTTTTCCTCCATATTTGAGGAAAACTTTGTGAAGGGTTGTATGAGGTGAAAAGAAGTGAATAACAAAATATTCCAAATGCACAATTTGTTATCATGTAAATTAGTTTATTGCTTGCAAGTCTTTAATAAAATTTTACAATTTAATTTATTTGAACATATTCGGAAATGATCGTTGTTTTTTATGAATGTTTGGTCGACGCTCAAAAGTTCGTAGTCATATATAATTATTATTAAGTACATCAATTATATATGGTTTTTGTGCTATTATATATGTATATGACGAGATGTGATGTAACTACAAAGTAAGTTGAGCGAATATCTTACTCGACAAGAGGGAATATTAGCCATTCAAGGGCACGCGCCTCGAGATTGACTAGCTAGATAATTGAGTATGTGTTGATTTTCTAATGTTTATAAATTATAAGCAATTATATTAGTCATTAGCAACATTAATTATTTTGGACAATATTCCCCTCCTTTTGTAAAAAAAAGGCATTCAAAATGTATATAAAAGTGTAGAATCTTCTCTTTCATCATTTATCCTTCCACTTTTATTATCCTTTCATGGATTCTTTGAATATGGCAGATTGATATCATCATCCCTATCCTTTATATCATCTCACCACTACTTTATTCCCTTATTCTCAATCAAGCTCACAGCCCCACTCTTGATGTTAGTATTACTATATACAAAAATTAGTAGGTGAAAAGAGAGATATATTTGCACTTAAAAACAAATTACAAAGTGTCTTTCTTTGATCATTAGGTTCACAAGGTGATCGACGGTTGAAACATGTCGATCTCATTAGAAAGTTCCACTCTGTACCTCGGTCTTTCGACTAAATATATGTCGTGAAGGTGCTAAATATCGCGTCGAAATTTCAATTTTGTAAATCAATTCAAAACATGTTTGAAATTTACATTTATCAATTAGTAAAATTTTCTTATAAACCATTCAAGCTAACATTAATTATTGTTCATAAAGATGATTATTGACATGAAAAATAGTTTGACCATCAAAGCAAAAAGTTTGTATATGACATAAACGTGGACAAATATGAACCCCAACAATGTGCTCATGTTTGGTGGAGCTTAAATAATTAATTAAAATTTTAGTCAAAATCAAAAATTAATTTTAATCTCACATTTTATAGAATTCATAATTTTTATCAACTTTTTAAACTTGCATTACTGTAACTTTTATCAAAATTTACTAAAAATTTGAATTTTATCTACATGGACGAGAGAATATTTGATATAGAGCCAAGATAAATTAATTTGAGACGATATGGCGTAGTATAATTTTCACAACCCTTTTCTTTTGGCTTGAAATCGGTTTTCATGTCTAAGAAAAGTTTGAAATAATTATATCCACAAGAAGAAATATCGTTATTCGCTTACGAACACTTTCATTTGTAAGTGCAAAGAGCTACATTATATCATCAACTCGAAAGTTTTGAAACTTTCTTGATTTTACATTAAAAAGTAAGACACGTAAACGTACAAGTTATGTGTGTCACACACTAATTTCAAGGACGGGTAGAAAACTTTCGCCTCTAATGATAGCTCTAGAAAAGTTGTACCAAGAAAATAAAATAAATGACCTGTGAAGTCTTCCACCCATTATTCATAATTTTGTGTTTTTAAGACATAAAATTAGTTTTACAATTTACTCCAAATGTTTTTAGTCAATTCCAAAAGTGCATGTTTTCTCAAAAGAACAACTTTACAAGGGAAAATTGCAGTGGAGGTACCCAACTTATTAAAGTTGCACATCCTGGTATCCAACATTTAAGTATTGACCATTTAATTAATCTGTAACATTTGGCAATTATAATTCCAAGGCATCAGAATTCGAAGTGTATAATATACAGAGCAGAGAAAGTAGCCCAAACGTTATACTGAAAATGTAACGATCCAAATTTTGTATAGAACTAAATACGAACCGTTACCAAAATTTATTGGATAAAATTTTATAGGTTTGGGCTCTCCAACTTCAACGGCTAACTTTTGAGGTATGATTCTCCCAAATTCTATGACAATGGTATTAGAGCAGGCATCATGTCTCGAGACCCTGGTTGGTGTATGGGCACCTGCACCGCGTGGGCATCAAGGTCGGAAACGTGGTGCTTTATCATAGTTCCAGTAAAACATATATATATCCACTTTTAAAAAGAAAATTATATTATATTTTTAACCCTACGTAAATTTACTTAAATAGACATAAAAAAAATTAAATAAAAATATAGCAATCTATTCATCCACTAATATTTATTTTCATTAAATTCTTTTGACCTTTTTATAAAACCTTAATATTCATAAAATATCATCTTCAAGTAAAGCCAAAACAACAAACACCATTAGAGCAAATACATAAAGATATAGCAATATATGGAGAAGTACCTTTTATTGTGGGTTAAAGAATTTAGTATTTGAAGGATTCTTGATTTGTGTTCGTATCATTTGATAATGTTCCTTTTGAATTCAAACTGTAACAATAAGAAATTTCATTCCAAATTATTTGAGTTTTTTTCGTTGGGATTATCTTTTTTCTTGATTTTCTTGAATCGAAAACTTTGTTGGCTAACTTTTCTGCTAGGTTTATCAAAATAAAAATTTGACTTTTCTGTTGGAATTATCATTTTTTTTTTAATTTTCTTGAATTCAAAACAATGATGGCTAATCTACTAAGATTATCAAAACAAGTAAAGAAATTTGACAATGCATATTGATGACAGTGATTGAAAATATGAAAGGATTATGAAGAATTATGATGTGAATAGATATATAAAAAACGTGTGGATGTATAAATATATAAAAATTGTGTGGATAGATATATAAAAGAATTGAAGGAATTATGATTGATAGATATATAAAAATAGTGTGGATGTATAGTGTTTAATTAAATGAATGAATTTTATAAGAACAATATTAGAATGTGATGTGGATGAGAATAATATTTTTTAAAAATTTTAATAGGGATATATATATAACAATGGTGGATGTAAATCAAGAACGTAAGACACGTAAACGTAAAAGTTATGTGTGTCACACACTAATTTCAAGGACGGGTAGAAAACTTTCGCCTCTAATGATACCTGTAGAAAAGTTCAACCAAGAAAATAAAAATAAATGACCTGTGAAGTCTTCCACCCATTATTAATAATTTTGTGTTTTTAAGACAGTTTTACAATTTACTCCAAATGTTTTTAGTCAATTCCAAAAGTGAATGTTTTCTCAAAAGAACAACTTTACATAGGGAAAATTGCAGTGGAGGTACCCAACTTATTAAAGTTGTACATCCTGGTATCCGACGTTTATATGCTGACCATTTAATTAGTCTGTAACATTTGGCAATTATATTCCAAGGCATCGGAATTCGAATTTTTAAATATGTATTTTAGCCTTTAAAAACAAAAAAGATAAGTTTATATATACATAATTATTGTACATAATGGATTAAATAGGTCCATGTGAAAGAAATCCAACCGTGAATGTGAAGTGTGGAAAAGTCAAAAATTGTAAACTACAGATGGATGCGCGCCACATGTCAATTATGTAACGTATTATGCAAATGATTATTTACTTGTAGCATGGTCCCAAAAAAAATACTTTAACAAATTAGTTTACAAAAGAAAATTTCGTCAAGAAATAAATTAATGAAAATAATAAAATTAAACAGTAATCAAAATTCTATGAGGAAAAATAACTATTTTAAACTATTTTATTTTTATTATATATGTAAAACTCAATAGTTGAATGAAGAATTTAAAGAAAGAAGCAAAAAAGATTGTTAGGAGACAATTTGATTGAATTAGAAGTCAAAAAGAAATGAAATATAATTAAAATATTATCACAAATCAATTTACAATAGCACAAGTTATATTCCAAATTTTTAATCAAATATTGAGACCCATTTTTTGCATAGTAAACGTCTGAATTGAAAAATTATAATTTTAAAAAAGTTGTAAACCTTTGAGTTATATTTTTAACTTACTTTGAATCGTGTCAATCGAATATCGGATGAAAAAGTTATAACCAAAATACTAACTGTTGTGTAGAGACAAAAAAATTCACTCGCGAAGGCAAATTTCCTTGTTCGATTGGAACTTTTTTTAAAAATCAATTTGGACGTGATTTTCAACTCCTACAAATACCTAATAACATAATACATACTAGAGACCTCCCATATACGTATTATTCTCCAATATTAATCAATTATTATTATTAAATGAGAAAAATTCATAATTTTTGTGAGAAAATTGAAGGAGACTTGCAAGAATTCAATCAAGTGAACATTCAAACTTACTTTTTGGGCAAAGAAGAGAAAACGCGAGTGAAGATTCATCAAGAAACCATTGAAGAGATTCAAAATTTCAAGATTCATCTTTATCTTCTTAATTTATAAAAAAAATCGAATTATGTTTTTACATATAAATATGATTTTTTGTAATTTTGATATATTTGGCTAGTTTGATTTGTGGATATTTATTATTGTTTTTATCGTTCTTTCAATTGTTTGATCACCAATTGAATTATTAGTGGATTTTATTATTATCGAGAGAGACAATAAGATTTAAGCACAATATAATGAATATTGTAAGGTTCAATAGAGGATATAAATATACATTTATACTTTATATAGTTTCAATATGCACTTATTATTGCATTTATTATGTTTTCATCTTTCATCGAGAGATAGAAGGATCACATGAGGGAAATAAATTTGATCTCTATCGAGAGAGACTTTTCAATTAAATTAGGAATATTGAACAACATGAATAATTTCAATTGTCACTTTAATTATTACACTAAAAATGAAATAATAGGGGGAATTCGACGTTTTAGCAATGCATTTCACATATTTGAAAAAACACATTTACTTACTTTCCCTAGTTTCATTGATAATTTAGTGATTAGTATAGAAAAATCACAACAAATTATTTGTTATTCGATTAAACTTGCAATTAATTTTAACTCGATCAAATGCACAGTTCTCATGGATTCGACACTCTATTCATCATTATATTACTTGATCATGATTCTGTGCACTTGCGAGTTTTTAAAGGATCAATAACTTATAAGTTGATTATATTATAAGGAACGAATAAAAAAAATTTAACTTATTTTTTAGTATCTTATTAAAATAAAAATATAGAAAGAATAAAATTTTGTGAATAAGTATCATTGTGGCTTCCTATTGGTGATTAAAACATAGTCGGTGATTCCCAACATCGCTGACGACATTGTCAACAATAATAACAGACGAAAATGTTTCAGTGATTACAAACAATAACATTGTCGGTAATTCTATCTTAAACACCAACATATATTGACTTCAATAAGATGATGTCAGATTGCACAACATTACTGACAATATTATCGTTGATATTCACTGACGAGGGTGTGTCGATGATTACTCACGGTATTGTTGTTAGTAATTTTGTTGGAACCATCAACAATTTATTTCGATCAGAATTACTGTCACACAATTTAATGGCTAAAATAAATCACTCTTAGATTAAATATATTTTTCTGTTTCAAAAAAATATATATATATAGTTTAAAAAATTAGTATACCAAAGAAAATTTCGTCAATAATTAAATTAATATAAAAAATTCTATAAGGAACAAAATAAAAGTTTGAAAAATAACTTATAAGAAAAGAATAAAAATATTTTAACTTATTTGTCAGCACATTATTAAAATAAAAGGCATAAATCATTACGATTTCCTGTATGCGAATGAAGCATTGTCAATGATTTCCAACATCATCACTCAAGACATTGCAGTCCATAATCGTCGACAAATTTGAGAAAAAACGATTTAGCCAGCAATGTCCAAATTTTTTACATTATAATTAGTCAAACTTGTTTCCCTTTGCTTGCATTTGGTGAGTCTGAATGAGGAAATGACAGAGAGAGAGAGGAGAGTTCCATAGGCGTAGGCCACCTGCACTTTTACTACTGCGTCTGATTAAACACCTATTTAATTTCCCCTATCATTTAATGTCATATTAGCGTCACCTAGACTGTGTTTTCATCCCCACTGGGGACGCTAAATGATAGGTGAAATGAAAGGTGAAATTAAATGACTTATTTAATTTCACCTATCATTTAATGCCACATTAGCGCCACCTAAACTGTGTTTTCATCCCCAGTAGGGATGAATAGCATTACTCTTTTTTGAGTAAATTTCACCTATCATTTAATGTTACATTAGCGCCACCTAGACTGTGTTTTCATCCCCAATGGAGATGAATAGCATTACTCCATTTTTTATGGTCGGTTTGTGGGCCCCAAGGCTTAATAAATTGTAATAATACCATAATTTACGTTCCTTTCATTTGTCTGATCATGTGCAAAAAACTGTATTCCATCACTTTGTGGAAAAAGGACAAGAAAAAAGCCTATAGGTGTGAAAATTGAGAAATTCTCGTCGGTAATCGCTGACAAGTGTGTATCGATAATTTCAAACAGTATCACTGTCAGTAATTCTGTTTGAATCATTGACGTTTATTGATTTCAATTAGTATCACTAACAGTCATATCGTCAGTGATTCACAACAATATCACTGGCAATAGTACAAACTATTTTTTTGATAGTAGGATTGAAGTCTTATTAGTTTAACAAAATTAATTTACCAAAGGGAATTCACTGAATATATAAATTAAAAATATAAAAATAAAACACTAACCAAAATTTCTTTTGGAACCAAAATGAAGTTAAAAATTATTTATAAGTTGTTAATATTATAAGGAGAGAATAAAAATATATTTTAATTTATTTGTCAATGTATTATAAAAATATTAAAAAATATGGAAATAATAAAATTTGGTGAGTGACACGGAATGCTTCCCTGCGATGACTTAAGCACTAGCGATAATCATTGACAAAGGTGTATCACTATCGTTATCAGTAATTTCGTTTCGAATCACTAACGCCTATCAATTTTAATCCGAATCATCAATAATCATACGTCAGTGATAACTGACAGCTTCTTGTCAATGATTGAAGCCCCATTATTGATTCTCGATAACATCGCTAACAACATTGTCATTGATTATTGCACAAGAAAGTGTGTCAACAATTACCAATGGTGTCGCAATTGGCGATTCTATCTAAATTATCAACAAATTTTGATTTCGATAAGAACAACCAACCATCGTAACTTCAATAATCACTAACAAAATTTCCGCTTGACGCTCCACCCTTAGTCTTGTTGTGGCCGAATGGCAGCTGGCTCACATTTGAATCCTTTGAATATTGATGTGTCGCGATCCCTCCAACAAGTTGTTCCATTTCTCATAGCGTAATTTTTTCGCAACAAAAGTTCTCCGACATTGTTTTCGCTAAAGCTTGAAATACATTGTTCACAAGGGCTCTACCTTCATGTTTATTGAATGGTCGGGCAACAGACTAGAGCATGTAGTTTAACTCGTTATATCAAGTTGTATCCTCTATGACAACTATATTGTAGGAGTACCTATGTCATGTCATATCGAAGTTAGCATTAATAGGATAAGTGATATAGTTCATAATTTATTCTCTCTTTAAAATATTTATAAAATAGGTGAATTTTAGAGGGCGTATTCAACTGGAACTTCTAAAGTTTTTAGGGGTATTCAATGTAAATTTTTTAAAACTTTCTAAAAGTATTAATATATTCAATAAAGATTTTTGTAGACTTTTGAAGTCTTTAAAAAATTTTGTGTATTCAATTAAAACTTTTTAGAAGTCTTAATAAGTCATGGGANTTCTTATTATATCCCTCCTTTTGTTCCTAAAAATATTAAATTGTAATTAAAAAATCTTATAATATTTATTTCTTTTTAAATCCAATTTCTATGTAAAAGATCAATTTGTAATTAATTTTTTTAAAAATTTTCATATAAAAAAAGAAGACAAACTCTTAATTAAATTTTAACTATATTAATTCGTTATTTATTTTTTGAAAGATCTGACATGTTGATAATATTGAGCATAAACATTTCATTTTTATTAAAAAAAATTAAACATATATTGATTTATATATCTAATTAAGATGACATAATTTTTTTAATTGTTTAAAAAATATTTTTTATTACATTGTAATGGGGAAGCAAGGGAATCAATCATTCATCTCCTAATGTTAAAGTTTTCCACTGTTGCTCTGGATCGAAGTAAATTCTATTTTAAAGGAAAGTTTCCAAAAGTCGCGTGAATTCTACAAAAGTCTATAAAGTTTCTAAATTACAATAAAAATAATATGATTGCCTAACTTAAAAATTCTAGCATTAAGAATTGACATAAGACTGAAAGTAATTATACAATGAATCAATCCCTTACAGTGCGACGAGTCTTTTTTGATAATTTCATCTGCAATTTGATCAAGTAGATTCATCACGAGCAATTTAGAAAAACTTTTTTTTATTTGTAATAGTTTTGTTATATGTACATTAATTTTAGCAACGCTCATTCAAAATCAATGGTCAACTTTCTTACACAGGAGATGCCGAACTTGATGTACAAAAATAATGTACAGACAGATTAATTCAACCAAGGCACGCTTTAGACAAAAAACAAATAAAAGCGTGCTACCCCAATCCCCCACAAAAACCCACACCAAATTGCCTTTTTGGTGTATTGACAGAAGAAAGAGTAGTTAGCTCTGTTTGATCCCATTTTGCCATCTCGTTCACTTCCTGTTTCGATGAGATATAAGAAAAAGACATTTTAAAATTGTCTAGTATTTATATTTATACAAATATAGTGATCTTTCACGAGGCAGAAAAAGCAATTTGCACGTATTTTTATGTTGAAAATTTATGGACTAACTGTCCTAAAGCTTCAACAACTTGTACAGAAATGTTACTATCAATAACTAGAACCTAAAGGCAGGGCCCATCCCCTAAACATCATAAATGGAGAGCTTTCTACAACAGGTCACGCATTGTTTTGGACGAATTTTGGATGAGTTGCCGCATATATAGAACAGTTTACATCAGCTTTCAAGTGAGAAAGAAGGTGCTGTATGTCTGGACGTAAATTTTCTGCTGCTCGTCCAATAAGAGCCAAAACTTCTGCTCTGGGTTTGCTGTTTGCCTGCACTGGCCCTCCCTGCCCTTCATAATGAACAACATGATGGCTGACGATAGAAGTGGTTCAATAGTATTAGAATTAGCGAGTGTAGACGGGATAAATATGCAAGTGTGCCCAAACGACACGTTATTCGAGGAGAATAATGATCTTACAGGAAGTCTATGATGTCTGATATCTCTGATGCTTCAATAGGAGCTGTGGGTTGTGAGTTTCTTCCAAAAACATCCCCCATGACGTTTAGAAGCAGCGATAATGTCTGACATAATTCCGTAAAATGATTACGGCAAAGACAAACAAAATCATCAATAGCAAAATATTATAGAGATTAAAATTTCGCCATTTATTTTAATTGCTCGACTGTAACCGTTTCGTGAACATTGCTTTTTGATTAAGGAGAAAAGTAGCACTTTTTCAAGAGGAAAAGTAGAAAATAATAATAATAATAATAATAATAATAATAATAAGAAAACTGGCAAAGCTCGTAACATCTTTACATACCTTAGTGAAGAGGGTGTGAGCATTGGCCAATCTTGGAAGCAATGGACCCATAATCCGGAAAGCTATTCTCAACACTGCTATTGATGTCACGGGTCTGAGATGCTTAATGATGAGATGCGCTCCATCGAGCCACTCCAGTGGAAGGTTGGAGAAGAAAGAATGTAGCAAAGCCACCACATTACCTGTATATGTAACGGGGTATCAGTTCAAGTACGGAAAATATCGTGTGACTTGTATGTAAATAATTTTATTCATTATAGTCACGTGGCAGTGGTGGTCAATTGAAACGTCAGCAGGCGTGTTAGAATATGCTTTACCATCGTTAACTAATCTTATTTAGTCACTTTTGCTAGTTTATTCATTTTGCCTAGCCTACTCAAATGGAATTATAGTCGAAATATTTAGGGTATGTTCTCTTTACCACTTTCAAGCCGTTTTCTATTTTCGATTTTCCAAAACAATGAAAATGCATTCTCTTTCCCATTTTCGAAACACGTTTTTGAAAACAAGTTAAAAATTTACAAAGAAAACTTAAAACGACAAAATGTTTTCAGTTATAATCAAGTCAAAATTTTCAAAATACGTCTTGGGTGTTTTCAAAATAATTTTTCAAAATGACAAAAAGAACGCATTTTCAACAATCTCAAAATGGACACTCGAAACACAAAACTCAAATACAAAGAGAACAGCCCCTTAGCTTCCATAGTTAGTTCCACCAAAATGAACTAAAAAGTAAAAGTTTTCTGATCATATAATATAGATGAATAAGCAATATAGCAATTCAGAACCAGTCAATGGGCCACAGTCTTTTGCATGTTTGGCAAAGCTTTTAAGTGCTTATAATCCGGTCAAATATCATTTTTAACCACACATTCTTTGCCTCCTTGGGATCCACTACTTACAAGCACTTAAAAGCTTAGCCTTGCAAGCACTTCATGTTTACATCTTTTATTTGATCTGATTATATAGTATAAGAATTCGCATAAGGATAGAAGTATATATGAGAGTTGTAGGAAAGATCTAATTGATGATAAAGAAAATTCCAGTGGCCAATAGCAGATATTGCTTTAGTTTGGCAGCTAAAACAATATTGAGAAACATAACTAGAAATAATAATAAAAGAAGGGAGACGAAAAAAGAAAAAAAAAAAGAAGAGGTATACTGAAATTCAAGAAAAGCATACCGATGGCTGTTGAGGTATTGTCCTGGGCAGCCCATGTTGGATCTAACAAAGCATAGCTTACAGCCGATTCTAGTTCGCTGACTGACCTTTTACCATCTACTAGCCACCAACTCTCTTTTATTACACGAGCCGCCTCCATGTAGAGTTGAACGTGGAACTCTTGAGGAAGCTGTGCTAGAAGAAGACCGCAAGCTTGGATCAACAAGCATGATAACTGCTGGCATGTATAACCACTTCGCCAAACAAAGTTTGACGTATTTATTCCCGAAGCTGAAGGAGTAGTCCTAGTTGCACCCAATGAATCAGTGCTTCCCCCGGAAGGAGAAGTGGGCAAAACAGAACTTTGCCCAACACCACTAGAAGCTCCATGTAACCCATTGCTAGATTGAACCAAAGTCGGTTGTATGTGAACAACAATTTGAACAAGTGAAGATACAATCTGGGATGTAGTTACGGGAAGAGAGAGGATTTCTATGACAGCCGTTTCAAGAATAAGCTGGGTGTATGTGCCAGGATCTTGGATTTGATAGAATGGTTTCTGACCTTCGGGAGCAATTGCTGGGCCAGGCTGTGATGTTGCCTGTGTCTTGTTATGTTGAGCTCGAATAGAACAAATGTCTCCCATTGGTCCAGTTTTTGAGCAATTATTTAGAGGAGGAATTACATGATTCACTATTCCAAGTAAAAGAGTAGCAAAGTAGTCCAATGGAGGGACAATGACAGCATTGGATGAGTTAACATGCTGAGGAAAGGACTCAGAAAATGGGATCTGAAACAAACGAACATACAAGTCAATGATTAAAAAGTTACAGAAAAGAACAAAGGAATCTAAGCAAGAAGAGCCATCACCACCTTTTTCACATCTAATACAGTCAATATCCGGAGGATAAATTTTGCATGAAGATGACCATAGAAATACGCAAGTATATCACGAACAAACGTAAAATTCAAAGGATAATAACGAAGGAATGCCGAATAAAATTGTAGAACTCTGTCAGCTGCATCAATAGCATCATTCTCAATAAGTCGATAGATTATCAGGGGAATGATTGGGAGCAGACGTGCAGCAATATCGTCGAAAAATGTTGGGTACCTAAAAGCAACATGCATACATTAAGAAAATGAAGTGAATTGTTGAAAAGTAGGTAATCACGTCATAACTCTGGAGTTATGAAAAGATAAGATACAAATATATATTACATGAGAATGTCATATTAATTAATGCTTAGTTAAGAGACAAATATAAACTAGAATTCAAACTGAAATAAACTACAACTGAAAATCGAATAGGATACATTATTGACAGTTATGTAAGCTTTCGAGTTATAGTTTGCTAGTGTTTGCATGATCCAATCCATAACATATCGAATGAAAGCTGGGGAAAAGGAAGTGCACACTTTGCTAGGGAATTTTGCTTGGATGCCAACACAAGCCAGAGGCACACCATGAACTGTTATTCCTAATGTTAAGCCCGTGCCAACCAAGCAGGTAGCCTCCAGCAAAACTGCAACATTTTATAGCATGCTGAAGATATAATGGAAAAAATAAAAGAACACCTATCAAAGTTCCCATCCCATCAAAAAATACTCATGGGGACCTCCCCGTGATGTTGCAGGGTATATTACATTTCAATGAAGTTGTATAATGTATGTTACCCTAAACACAACTCGTGCTAATTCTTCTACATTAGTTTATTCAAACCTTTGTTTAACCTAAAGCTTCATTAACAAAACTAGAGGCACACTTCTTTCAAAGAGAGAGGCAATAGGATTATTCACACCATTAGATGGTCAAAGGCGAATTAAAAGATGAGCAACTACGCATTTCAACTTTCCACCGGAAATTCCGGTTGCCCCTACTGAACTCCACCTTGGTAGTTTCCACCACCTATCCAGGACTGAGCCCTGGGATTTGAATGCCCAGTCATTCTGGATAATGCTTACATCCTCTATCTAACCGTGTACTGCACTAAGAGTAGTCATATACCCTTAGACCATCCCCACGGGGATGGTAAAGGGAGAGGCCCAATTGATAGGGAAAAAACCCACAACCCCTAGGGGTCATCCTGATTTTAGAAGGTCCAATCAACACATAATCTGTTGACTCTTCAACATCAGTTGGTTCTAATACTAAACTTAATTTCACCAAACTTCATCCTGACCACTGACAGATATGTGTCCAGTATTTAAGAAGAATATTATCACCCACTCTTTCTCAGGAACTGAAAGAAACCTCAAAACTGGAAGAAATGGTGTTAGACGAAAGAGGAAATCATATCAATGCACAATTTTGTTAAATGTTGTTTCAGCTCTTATCAAACAATAATAGCACTCAGATCACCAAGACCATTTTCAAGACGATGAGAATGAAGGGCATTCCAGGCCCTAGCTACTAGGCGTCCAGACATTTTTATTGAAGGTGGGAATCAATATCTTATTGGAAAATTTATTATTATCATCAACAAATGTTTTGCCAGCTAATGTGCAAGTGGATATATGCGACTGCATATGAACCTGAATACCATTTTTCAAGCATCCTAAATGTCAATAACATGTTAACATCACGATATGATTGACATGACTGATTGCTTCTAAATATGAAGTCATCGGGACTAGCAATAATTTTTGCATTTCAATAAATCAACTATCTGCTTCTATGCTATGAGTTATATATTGCATTCTTCAAATAAGTGAGATAATATCCAGGACATCACCTTTCCTTCCAAGAGAGATGATTTCCAAGGGCTTTCTGCAATTCAACGCGTTTGAAAGTTCCAGAGAAAAGCCAATGCTCAGGTGGGCCACGATTCATAAGATACAATTGTACTCTTTGTTGAAGCTCTTTACTTTCAAGTAGGTTCATCTGTTTGGACAATAAAGGAAATTAAAAGAGTGGATGAATCTACAAAATGTGTCATCATAGCATTTGAACCGAACAGTAACGCAAGTTAACTACAGGAATTATTTTATCTACTTCACAATGGAATTATATTGATTCAGAAGCAATGTGAAAGTTTCTAAAATTTCAACGTTTTACATCATCTAGCAGAATATAAATTCAGAGAAATTCCCTCAGAACTTTATAGAGGAGGCTGACAAATCAACATTAATCTGCAGCTCCTAGCAGACGGAATGACAAATTGCTCTATCAAATTACTTGGAATCAGCTAATAAACTGTGGAAAGCGCAAAACTTTTTAAAAACTAATGATAAGTTAAAAAATAAATAGACCAGATCTTCACGAAATAGGAACCTTCCTCAACCTATTGTTAAGTTTTCACTAATCTCTGACTCCAGAAGTTTACAGGCCACTTCAGTCAAATAAGCAATTACACACGAAATTACACACGAAAAAGCTAGAACCTAAATGTATAGGCAAGGACCTCAAGGATCATATGATGTTTAGAGAATAGGTTTAGTAAAAGGCCATGACCATGGGGAAACTATGCTACTTCAAATTATCTTAATCTCATTACGCTTCTCATGGAAAGCAGTACCCAGAGCCTCAACAATATCTATTAAAAAGGAAACTTGAATGTATCCAGTATGAAGGGGGAAGAGAAATGTCAAATGACAGAAGCTTTATTCATCATTCAACGTCCTTTTACCCACCATATTTATATATGATAATTGTCATACATATGTAAAGAACCAGAAGTTCTTCACCTCATTCTGCACTTCTATGCCACTGCCACAGTAACACTGAGCATTTCCCCACCATTAACAGACCTATGATGGAGAACGGGAGGGGATTGAAAAGTTTATTTTTGTCAAAGTATAAGAAACCAGGATAAATTTTATTATTCTTAAGTTTAGGCGGAATGTATAGTTTGTATATTACAGGATTACTTGTTAAAGTTGTTTCCTTATTTTGATCTCTTGTAAGGCCTATATAAACACAGGCAAACTATAGTTCCTAGAAATCATATTTCCATGCTTCAGATGATTTGGCCAAATTCCATATACTTGATCCTTCACTTTCATCTGTAAATCCCATGCCTCTTACACAAATAAGGTGTATCTTTGGCTGGTTAATCGTAAAAAGACTAATACTCATGAAATAATCTCAAGGAAGATGTCTTTACTTTCTATTTTCCTTTTATGATTTGTAATATGTAGGAAGGACTAAGTATGCATTGACGGTTTCTTTTATGCTCTGATGTTATCACATGGGGTGAAGGTGACGACGGTGCTCCTAATTGCTTTTCCTAATAGAAGAATTCAAACTTCGCAATTATTCAATAAAATATCTTTATGGATCTCCATCAGCAGGTTTATTAAGATGGCTGTTTTTCACCAAGTAGCTGAAATAAATTATTCATCAAAGCTAATCGGGTTGGGTTCCGGTAAGAAGGTAAAGGTCATCCCGAAAAAAGTTGTTTTGGCTATAATTTGGGCAATTGGATTTTTTGACAGTATAGAATAGAAAAAAAAAATGTGAAGGAAAATAGCTAGCAGTAACTTACTAATGGTATAGGACAAAACATTTAGCATCTTTATAGGTTTCTTTGAAGGAGTTCATGGGTTTTACTTTCTCCTCAGTTGTTCTAGAGTGGAACAAATTCTTGTATTGGACTTTCACTTTACTCTTGTAGTCAGAAGTTGCCTTGTACTTTCACCAGAGTTCTAAAAGGAGTGAAATATGGTAAGGTCAAACCTCAAGTCTTACGAGCCTAGGCACAGTAAGGCATTTTCCTATTTTTGATATTATTTTAATTATTTTAAGACTGTTAAATAAATAAACTAATGCATACCTTGAAAGTTAAAATCTATGCAAGTCTATTACCCAAGTACATGCATTTAAAATAAGTTAGCAAACAACTAATCATAATAGATTTATAGGAACTTGATGCATAATTTTCAGGTGTCAAAAAAAAAGTCACAAAATCACAAATACTACAATTACTTAGTCCCTGTAACAACAAATTCTTCAGAACTCATTTTCAATCACACATTCTTTCAAAAAAATAATATCATACGAGAACTCTCAACTTTTTCCTACTTTTTAAACATGCATTCTCCAAAAATATCACATCTTCATAAAATTTATTCTAAAAGATCTACAAACAAGCCATTAACATTTTTTTTACGATTAGACAATTTAGTTAGCAACACGCACAACAGTCTCGTCTACTTTTCTATTTATTAACTCTTCATTTTATGTAATTGGTTTATTTAACCTTAAAATAATTGGACAAAAAATGGAAAAAAAATAAATAAATAAATAAGGCGCACTGCCTAGGCCTGCATTAGGCGGTCAAAATAGGGTTGATTGCCTTTTTCCCACACCTTCACTATATGCGGGGCTTTCGCCTCAGGCCTCACGACTGGACCCACATAGGCCACAACTTTTCTCGTTTTTTAGAACATTGCTTTTCACAGATATAATTATTTTAGACATAAAATGGTAGGACTTCTATTTCTTGTTTTCAATATATTATTATATTAGTAACATCTTATTGTAGTTATCTATTTTAGCAATTCCCATGAAACTTGCGCAGCTACATATTAGACAAAGTAGATGAAAGTGAAAACTAATATAAGCAATATTATCTTAGAACTCCAATGGAAACATCTTTTGTTTGGACGAGAAATATCTATTTCAGAATTCTGTAATATACTTGGGAAAGAAAAGGTATATGCTTTCATTATTTTGTCGCTGAAGATGATACCAGGGTGAATAGAATCCACAAAATGGCATAAAAAAGTACATAGCACATCAAACCTACCACAATTTGTAAAGAATGGGGATCATCATCTCGGTCAATAAGTGCTAATAGCAAAATGTCCAAAGGAAGAAGCTCGTGAGTCCAAATGAAGAAGGAAAGGTTTGTACATGCTTTTAGCATAAGATCCTGAACAAGAGGAAAATAAGTTAACCTTCAACTACAATAAAATGAACTGCAGCAGGAACACTGCTACTGAGTTACAGAATAAAATTTAAAATTGGAAAATAAGGAAAGGGAAAAGGATAGAGTCTAAACCTGCAAGGAACGGCCACGCTGTAGTTCTAATTTAATATGATTCAGCAGTACATCCACCATTGTATATATATTGGCAGTCACTTCTTCTGGGGAAAATTCTCTCAAGACACGACCCTGTATACCACCAAGCATGTGTGTGCATGTGTTCATGAGTAATTGAATGAATGAGAGAGGCAGGAGGAGGGACTTATTACAGAAAATACAAGGAAAGAAGTAAATCCACTGAGCAAGAAATCAAAAAAGAGCAACGTCAGAATTTTTTTTTTATAAAAACAATGGAAATTTAAAATAAAAAAACGAAAGTAGAACCTTACAAGTTGTAAACTGTTAATGTTCTCGGGATGACCATACATCAGTATCCATGCACCAGCACAGAGATATTGACGGTGCTGAGGAAAACTGTGATTGATATAAGTCATGAGATATGTTGGATCAGCTGATGATGAAAGAAGCCGAGTACACTGATTAAGCACAGTCTCTTCTGTCTGCGAAAAACATTAGGAAAATAAGTAGCTTGTGGAAAGAAACAATGTAAAGAACCTATGAATGAAGTTTTCTTATATGAAAATGCCCTCTGTATTTTAAATTTCAAGACAAGTATGTCCTTCGGATTTGTCTTAAAACAATGTTAATCCTTTGGGTTAACAGTTTTTGACCAAATGGGAAATTAAACCCAGGCAATTACTGATATTTGCAGTTCTTTGAAAAGGTGTAAATTTGCTGTTCACCAACTTATGATCAGGAGGGAGATGAGAAAGCAAGTCAGGGTGCAATCTTTGTCAACAATGCCAATCATCATCACTTAACATGAAACTTAGGCAGTGTTCGATAGCATGCATTTCAAATTCCATTTTCCATCATTGGCAGTGTTTGATGTCCACCTTTTGCCATGGAAATTGAGAAAAAAAAAATTCTACTCACACACCTAATTCTTGGCGTGAAAGGAAGAGATTTTCCCACCTTTTAGGTGGGAAAACGAATTCTGAGACCTGTTCTTTTTTTTTTTTTTTTTAATGGCAATGGAAACAAATTTCATAAAAGTGTTAAAAAAAAAAAAATCACTTTCATTGACAATTTTGATGCAAACGAATGCTAAACTTTGATTAAAAAATGAATTTTTAAGAAATAATTTTTTTTTCCTTTTTTTTAAAAAAAAAATCATTTTAATAGATAATTTTCATGTAAAATAAAGCCAAACGTGAACAAAAAAAAATCCAAAATTTCAAATTTTTTTCGGGTGGAAAATTATACCAATCAAACACACTTAATTAACAATTCCCTGTAAAACAATTTCTAAGCAATTACTTTCTCTGAAATTCATTTTCTTTCCACTCATTTTCCACCCTTACAATCAAACGGACCCTTAGTGTATTCATGTAATGATGAAGACTAATCAATCTCAACAAGAAATTACAAAAGAGTATCTTTATTGGTTAGGACAGCCATTGAAGAGGGGTTAATCCAAGCCTAATGGTTGACCACGTTCAACGGTCAAAACTCATGCGTTAGGCTCCTTTTCTTAGATAATAAGTTCTACTTTTAATTTTATAATTTTAAGGGGGATCTATCAACGGAACAGGAAATATAGAATTAAAAAATGAAGGAAGTGGCAAGAGGAAACACCAAGTTGAGTGATAAAAGATTAAACTGTACAGGCTAGTAAATGTCGACAGATACTTAGCTTTTTTGGCACTATCCCAACCCCAACTCTCTCCAAAATCTTCGACTTGTATATATTAAAAGTGAGGAAACCTAAGAAATGTTCCAATGGACATGTATACATGTTTTTTTAGGTAATTGAAACTTGTGACCAATATATTTTTGTAATATACTTAAAGGAAGACATTGCTCGCTGAGAACTGCTTGTCTTCTCACGGTTCACCCGCTTTAATTGGAACTCATATTTCTATAGGAGAACAAAGAGGGAAACGTAAAGCTTCTTTAGTGAAACCACGTACTTGCTGCCATGCTTGAATGGCCATACCCCTTCTATCCATCCTGCCAACCAGGGTATCACGCAAAATAGCTGGGAAATACCGAAGAGTCTTCTCAGACCATGCATGTTGACTGGTGGCCAGTATCTGCTCCAGCATTGTTTGAAGGTATAGTAGGTGCTCAACCTCTGCAATGCCACGAGTCTTGATGATGATGGCAAGAGTAGTTACTGTAATCCGATTTAATGTTTCTGTAAACTCAGTTGGACCCTGCACAAGCTTCGACCAGACAAAAGTCAGTGCAGTTGCAGTAAAAAGCTATTTACGATTTACGAAAGAATTATGGTTTCAAAGTTGTCTCCCACCTTTCCTTCTCTCTTCACATAGAAAAAGTCCTTCATTGATAAAACAAGATTCATGCATAAATTCTCAGCCAGTCTAAAAAGGCGATGTTCTCCACGTTTCGCTTTCAATGTAGCAACAATTTTTGTGACATCATACATTAAACCTTTGCTCTTTCCTTGGTACCTTTAAAAAGAAACCACCAAAAAAGTACTTTTATCAGCCTGTTTATTCAACTGCACGCTATAAAATAAATCTCAGCTTGACTGAAAGCGTAAAAAATGATAGTTACTGCAAGAACTTTTCCATGACAAAAGCTTCCTCTATTATGGTCTCACAGGACAAGGACACGAGTCAAAACTTGACCTCCACAAAAGGCAAAATATTGAAGGATTCCCAGGGGCGACCTACCTCCTAACAAACACAAGCTATCTCTCCCTAGTCCCATCATACTGAAGCAAATCAAACTCAAATATTTTTTATTTTTTTTTTGAAAGGTAAACAAATATTATATTAATCAAAACTTAATATATACGAAGTGTATCATCAATACAGATCAGAAAGGAAAATCATAAAATTGGGCAGCCCATCTATATGCCTAGTAGCCGCAACATTAAACCAAATATATAATGTCCAATAGAACAACTCCCTAAACTACTCTGATATCCGTGTTTGGTCTTCAAAACAACGTCCGTTTTTTTCTCTCCACATACACCACACAATGTATCCCGAAATAAGGTCCCAAACAAGTTTGTTTTTCTCATTTCGAAACTTTCTCCTCCATGTCTTTAACATGTCCTCCATACACTTTGGCATCACCCAATCCATATGTTGCGACACCAAAATATCGTTCCACAACAAACGAACAGTATCACAATGAAAAAATAAGTGATCAATCGTCTCCCCATCCCTCCTACACATATAACACCACTCTGTAACATAAAACCCCCTTACACGAAGGTTATCCACCGTTGACACATGTCCTCCGACCACCATCCATAATAAAATGCCATTCATGGGAGCAGTTTACAATTCCGTACCATCTTTCAGGAGAATAAACTCTTTTCAACTCCCGATAGAGATCTAAAATAGGTGCGAACTGAAAAAATACCATCTCGTGTCAATCTATACCTGCTACTATCGTCTTATCCTGCCCTGATATGTGCTTCGTATAAATATGTCAGAAACAACGCATAATCATCTAGTTCCCAGTCTTGCAGACCCAGGCCAAGAACAATGTTCCAACTGGAGCTCCTATTATGAATATCTAATGCATCATTCACCATGGCAGACGACTCCAATGCAATACGATACAAAGAAGGAAATCTCACCTTAAACGGTTGATCTCCACACCAACAGTCATCCCAAAAACTGATTGTATTACCATTCCCCACAACAAATGTCAACCTATCCCTAAAGTCGCTCCACCCTCGCCGAATATACCGCCACAAACTCACCCCATAAGGACCACGTCTCTCACCTGAGCACCATCCCCCCTCCATAACACCATATTTTGCTCCTATAATAATTCTCCAAAAGCTCCCCCTCTCCACTCCAAATCGCCACAATCACTTACCCAATTAGACCTTATTAAACAGTACAAGACTTCTCAATCCAAGACCACCAAATCTAATAGGAGAACAAACCGCATGCCAATTAACCAAATGCAATTTCCTCTCCTCTCCTAATCCTCCCCAAAGAAACTCCCTTTATATCCTCTCTAATCTTTTTGCCACTGCAACAACAGTGACAAGAAATAAGTAGGAAGATTCGACAAAGTGGACTTTATGAGAGTAAGAAGGCCTCCTTTCGAAAGGTACATACGCTTCCACCCTGCTAACCTCCTCTCCACCATTTCCACAATACCGTTCCAAATAAGTGTGCACTTAAACCGTGCACCTATAGGGAGCCCGAGATATGACATAGGCAATTGTGCCACCCTACAATACAATATCTCAGCCAACTCTTCCACGTTGTCGACCTTTCCCACTGTGATAGCCTCAGATTTTCCCAAATTTATTTTCAATCCAGAGACGGCTTCAAAGCATAGGAGTAAATGACGCAAGTTCCTGAATTGCTCAACATCCGCATCACAGAAAATCAGCGTATCTGCAAATAACAAATGAGAGACCTGCGACTGCTCGACAACAAAATCCGTTATCAAATTTTACCCCACTACCGTCTCAAGCATCCTACTAAAAGCTTTCATAACAATGACAAACAGCAATGGAGACAGAGGGTCCCCTTGTCTCAATCCTCTACTACTGCGAAAGTAGCCCTCCGGGTGCCATTCACCATAACTGAGTATGAAACCGTAGAGATACAAAACTGAATCCACCAGCACCATTTCTCCCCAAAACTACATCTCCTGAGCATATACAACATAAATCCCCAGTTAACGTGATCATATGCCTTCTGAAAATCAAGTTTACATAACATTCCTGGAACCCACAATCGCATTCTTGAGTCAATGCATTTGTTTGCTATAAGTACGGAATCCAAAATCTGGCGCCCTTTGATGAAGGCATTCTGAAATTTAGACACCACATTTCCTAACACCTCCTTTAATCTATTCGCCAAAATCTTCGCAATAATCTTGTAAACCCCACTCACTAAGCTAATAGGACGAAAGTCCTTCAAATCTGTCACTCCCGATTTCTTGGGAATGAACACAATGAATGTAGAATTGGCGCTTCGTAGGAATCTTCCACACTAAAAGAAATAGGTAAGGACATCTACAATGTCTGATCACACTACCTCCCAGCAACCCTTATAGAATGAGAAAGAGAATTCATTGGGTCCTGGAGCTTTATTATCATTCATGCTGAACACCACCTCCCTAATTTCATTCTCCCCAGATGGTCTTTCTAACCAACTAACATCCTCATCACCAATAGTAGAGAAGTCTAGCCCCTCCAATTTTGGCCTCCAACCCAACTGCTCACTATACAGAGACTGATAAAAACTTACCATATGGATCCCGATATCATGTGGATCCTCATAAGTGACCCTATAAACCTCCAACGTAGCGATTAAATTATTGCGCCGATTGGAGTTAGCTACCTTATGGAAAAATTGGGTGCGCCTGTCTCCCTCTTTCAACCACTGGACCCTAGACTTCTGACGCCAAGCAATCTCCTCCATCTCCACCAGCCTCTCTAGTTCTTCCTTTAGTTCTCCACGTCTCGCNAATGGGGAAATGATCAGAATACAACATCCCCAGTCTCCTTTGTATGACCTCTGGATACTTAGCCTCCCACTCCTCACACACCAAAAATCGATCTATTCGGGATAAAACGGGTTGGTCTCGGTTAGATGACCAAGTAAAATCACCTCCGATCAAAGGCAAATCCACCAACATGTTCTCCCTAATAAAGTCTGAAAAGTCCTTCATAGCTCCTGTAATCTCCCCCCACTATACCTCTCATTGGGAAATCGAACTACATTAAATTCTCCTCCAATACACGTTGGGAGGTTCCACCAATTCATCATCCCAACCAACTCATCCCACAAACCACCTCTACTCTCATCAGCATTAGGCCCATAAACTCCATAAACTCCTGTAAACATCCAACGAAAACTATCTCCAATATTTCTAAACGAAAGCGATAGAGAAAATAGACATACACTAACCTCCTCCAAATCACAAACTCTAGTATTCCACATTACTAACATTTCTCCTGAAGCCTCTGATGACCCTTCAAACTGATACCCTACATGCTGACCCCCCACGGACTGCGCACAACAGCCCTCGAAATGACCTCCAACTTTGTTTCTTGTAGGCATACAATGTCAACCCTTAATAGATTCCAAACACCTAATCTTTTCCCAACTTTATTAAGCCCCCTTAATGTCAACCCTTAATAGATTCCAAACACCTAATCTTTTCCCAACTTTATTAAGCCCCCTTACATTCCAACTAATTATTTTTAGCGTCATCTAAATACCTCATCATCCCTCCCCTTATGTATCCCCTTTCTCGACTCCTCCAACCCACACCACCAAAGCATTATCATTCCGTGGATTCCCTTCCTTTGGAGACTTAGAAAATCTCCTACAATAGGTATTCACCACCCTAGTTGCTGAGTCTATCTGCCCTTGTTGTTTCTCAGTAATCAAAATTGAGCTATCACCCACCACAGTTCCGTTTTCGAGCTCACTATCCAACAATGATCCCTTTACACAGGGAATCATGTCCAGCCCACCCTCATTTGTAGGACAATTGATCGCTTCTAACAACTCCGAGTTCAGAACCGTAGTACCCGACTCCCCTACCTCTCCCCGAGGTTCCATCTCTCGAGACGCCTTGATCATTAAATCCCCGACTGCCCTATCTGTTTCCTCCGTCTGGACCTACGTCCATCACAGAAAGAATTTACCACTGCAGTTTGCGTCTGAAATTCGACTGGAAGCTCATTTAAGCGCACCCCACACCTATGACAATAAGTGTTCCTTGGGCCCACTATAGACCCTTTTTCCACCACCTTGATCAAGTCTTCCAATTCCCTTTTCAACACCTGCATGCGAGCCCGCAATTCTGCATTAGGGTCAATCCCCTCATTCTCCGCCCTTTCCTTAACAATTCCCGTTGATCAGCCTTTTCAATGTCCAAACGTTCGCCGTCACATCGGCATAAGTCACCCATGATCGCCTCTTGTCATTAGTTATTTGACGTTTTGCCATATCTCTGGAAACGAGTGAATCAACAACTGCTCGAAACATGCGTGATATCGATGCTCATCCTTCTCCATTTGCACCTTCCAGCACCATCACAACTCATTTTCGACGCCTCTCACCGTAATGAGCTATCATCAAAAACCTACCACGCTTGTTAGCACAACGTTATGCCAAGAAGGCTCGAGAAGACTCATTAAACTTGGCAACGAAGTCCTCCATTCTATCGGTCATCCTCAACTTGTCCATCATATTCAGCATCCAGACGGCACCATATCAACCCATGCAAATTGTGCCCAAAATCTTCGATCCCCATTCTGATAGCTTAAAAAACCCTGGTTCCGTAACAGATACAACGAACTCCTTTACCTCAACTCGAAATCGTGAATTGAAGACCTTGATACCCTCCATATAAGTCTGTTTCCCACTGTTTTGAGCAAATGAACCAGTGGATGATGAAACCAATGCTCGGAATGGCCTCGGAGCACCATGGTGGATCTGGGTAGACCTCAGAGGCGGCGCGTGTGCTCCAAGCGCCGACAGGTCAGCGCGATCGCCGGGCGCCTAACATGCCGGACTCGGAATTGCCTGTACAGGCCCCCAGACCGGCGCGTTTGGTGGAAGATTGGCCGGAAGAGGTGGGATCGGGATTTAACTGCCTTTAAACCGTTCGTTCTTCTCCTTCGCTATAGCATTGATGGAATTATTGCCTCCATGAGAATAGACCCCATGAGAGACCGCCATGCAACAGGGTCGTGGCGCTAAGGTTACTGTCGGCGATTGGGTTCCCGGACGACAGGCTAGGTATTTGTGGCGTGAGGCCGGTAGGGTTATGTGGGTTGGGTTTGTGATCGTTACCGGGAAGGCTAGGTTGGGTGGTGGGGAAAGGTGTTTGGATATGGCAGGATCTTCCATCTCTCCTAAAGAGAGAGAGAGGCTGCAGCATCAAACTCAAATATAAAAAGTTATCAATGCATACAGGACCAATTACTGTACCACATAACTCACAAAGGAGAAAATTTGATAAGCTTCTAGAATGGGTAGTTGTATTTCTATTTTTAGTCCTTAGAAGTGAACTGGGTGATGATTATAAATTTGTGAACGAAATAAGACAGTTCTGCATTTCAGCAATTATCATTATTACACTTGAGGAGTGGAAATAGAACAATTATTCAGTTCCGAAGCACATAATATGTAGCTAAACAACTATGGAGAGCATAAGTGTCACAAGTTTTAGGAAACGACTTCATTTACAGTATTTTTCTGTGCACTACTAGATTTGTCTTTTCCTTTAAACCCAAAGTTCATTAGATTATAATCAAAAACTGTACTTTTAATTTTATAATCACAATTATATAATAACCCGAATCTCTATACCCAAACCGTTAATTTAAGTATTGTCCGCTTTGGGTAGGCATATGCCCACTTTACCTCAAAAAGTTTTCTATAACATTCCCCAAGATTCAAACTCAAGACCTCCGTCTAATGAGAGACTTAAGTGGAATCCTGGTATCAATTTGGACGATGGGTACAGAGACTCGGATCGTTACCAAAAAAATGCTCAGTTGATTCTAGGATTCCACTTAAATCTCTCATTAGACAGAAATCCTGAGTTCGAATCTTGGGAGACGCGATAGAAAGCCGTGAGAGGACGATTGGGTATATGTCCACACAAAGCGGACAGTACGTTAGCCTTGGGTATAGACACCCGAGTCGTTACATTTAGATCCTAAATTGTCCTGACATGTCTCATGTCCTTGGTGTGTACCTCAAGTGGACTTTGGTGCTTAAAATGCAGAGAACTACAATTATATGGGACATATCCCCACATATCTATACGTGTCATAAAATCCATGTCAGGTATTAAAACAGTGCCCTTCCATCACCACCCCAAAAAAACCCCAAGTGTGTACAGTTAAGTATCATCCAGGTTGCCTGGACAGAATTAAATTGATAACATTGAAAGCTCAATGAAGGAACACAAGAAAGGTTTCTTCACCTGTACAGTGAAAGCAAACGATAGTTCAGCATTTCGAACACTAAAATGGAAGCTGCAGGTTTGCTCAATGAGGTTTGGTTCCTTTGGGCCAGTAGCTGCAATGGAAGTTTGACATCAGAAATAGAATAAAGTAAAATATGAAGTAAGAAATAAAGCTCAGCCATAATTACGTGCCATTTTATAGATCAACAGAGAAAAATATTAGAAGTGGATAGAACACTGAATTTCCATAAATACAAGAAGAAACAGTAAAAATGTGAACAGCCTTCCAAAAGCATTTTTGGGAAGATCGGCATTAATCCACTTCAGAGTGGAAAAAATATAGTACAAAGAGAACCTTTTGATCAGGTTCAAGTTAATAACAACTTATTACACTTCTTAGGTCTTTCTAATATCTTTGTTTATTAGACGAATAATTTTCATTTACCACTCCCTTCCAACATCGTCTTCTTCCACAAAGTGAAGCTCAACTTCCTTGCAAATATATAATGGGAGCATAACAAATCGAAGGCCAGACAGAGCAGAATTGCATAATGAGGATAAATGTGCACCAATGACACCCTTTACTCTTACTGCAAAGGCTTCAAAATCTCCAAATTCTTGTAATTTTCCATAACTGAGGCACAGTACAACCAGTTTACGATGCTCACCCAATGACCTTTCTTGCTATCACTTTCACTGACTTCCCATATTGAACACAAGAATAAAAAGATGGCCCTCGCTGGCTACAATTGCCGGCATGTACACTATTGTTTTTTTTTTATTAAAGGAAGAAACATAGAACAAACTAAGCCTTATCCTGGCTCAAATTAAACCTAAAAATCTCGTAGAAAATTTCTCTTCGACTTCTCTCTAGATTTTTCCCTCCTTCCCTTATGTGAGAGAGAGCTCCACCCCACCTAAATCCCATAACAGAAGTTAACCATGTCATCTAAAACCTTAAGGTGTTAGAGAGGGGCCACATATTCATTGAAATCCTGTGTTTAACACACCACATCACTTGCAAACTTGATTCATTTTTTTATTCAAACTTCTAACACATGCACAATTTGACCAACTCTCATATTATTTTAACTATCTTATCTAAAAGCTTAAACAATTCAAAAAGCAACTATTTCGAACTTGTCTTGAACAACAGCCCCACCACCTCCACGCTGCCACCACCATTTTAACCAGCGTCACACTGCATGGAGCAAATCTTTTGTCTCCATTTTCGAGCAACTGTCTTCTTCTCCCCTTTTCCACATAATTGTCCTATGTCTTTCAATGGAGAGCCTTTTGTGAAATTTTCAAATAAAGATATTAAGGAGTTCTCTTCATCAAATCTGTGGGCTATGGTTGGGGAAATTTTATTGGTTAAGACTCCCATTGAGAAGGTAAAATCCCTAGCTTTTAATATTTAAGGAGTTTTTATGATTAGGTTGGTACCAAGCATGTCATCAATAATTTCATGAATGAAGAAGATTATAGACTTGTGTTAAAGCCCTTGTCTTTTGTTGCGGTAGTCCAATGAGAGTTTTAAATGGACTTCGATAATGATCCAATAAAGGAATCTTCAATTGTCCCAGCTTGGATTGCTTTACCCTTTTTTCCAACAAGAAGGCTAACACTCTCAATTGCAAATGTTGACAGAAAGCCTCTCAACATTAGTTAATGAGATTCAAGATAATCCATCTTTGGCAAGATATTTTTCTACGAAAAGGTACCTCTCTGTTGTAATTATCACAGTTAGGGATCTCTTTGGTTAGTGGGCACTATTACCAAATTAATCTCACCATTGAAGTCAATCAACATCCTGTCAAACCTGGAAAGAGAATGTCTTCTCACTGGCTGGAGATGGAGTGTTGGAAGATTTGACTTTCCTTGTTTACTAGTTTCCTTTTTTATATAAACTTCTTTTTCTGGCCATTTGTAACCTTATAAATAGTCTCTCTTAGTATTTAAAAGTGGAAGAAAATGCAAGTAGAACTCATTCTCTCTTCCTCTTCACATTTCTGTCTCAATCACTTTTCCTTCATAATTTCCAACACCATTCAACTATCATTACATGGCATCCAGCACGTAGATAAGGGTGCCAGCAATAACTAAAGCATTACTCATGGAAGGTATCGGCTACTTTGACCAGAGATAGAACCATGCCTACTCTATTAATTTGTTCTAATAGCAGGAATAGATCTTTCTGACCAGTCTTTGAATGCTCTTAAGAGTACTAAAAAGCCAAAACACAAAGCAATAAAATGGAATCAAGCCATCGCATCAAAGAAATCTCCAGTGCATCAATAAACAGAATCTTCAATCATCGCCACATACCAAATCAAAGTAGAAAGGCATAAATTTGAGGAAACGGAAATTACTGTCAAGAGTGAACGGAATAATGCATGAGGGGAGACGAGCATCACTCTAACATATGTCTCAACCATGGCAATGCTAGGCACTACCTGTTTCAAATGCAACAAAGTCAAATTTAAAATGTTAATCTACCAGGGTATCATTTGTCAAAGTGGAAAAATGCAAAAGGAAAATATTTAACAGTTCCTAATCCAAGAGGGATAGCCTTGATGGAAGAAGATGCTAAGATGTTTAAGATGACCAAAACTGGGCAATCTTTTCACACTCACACACAGTAGAAAAGCCTCTTGCCAAGGTTAGCTTCTTCGTGCGTGATATTTTTTCCAGTTATGTATGAAAATGTGTAAGATATGCTTTGATGAATGTTAACCATATTAGTCAGGGCACTCGTGCGCTTGTATATGCCTGATGATGTGTATTATAGTTTTTACCTGTCCTGAAAACATGGAGTCTTCCATCTGATAAGCCAATTTCAAACATAGATTTATTGAAAATCCAGATAACAATGATATTGGAAGAGGGCTAACTTCCTGCATCACCATTAAAGTCTCATTCGACTGTAAATTTGGTCCAGCTAACAGCTCTGTAGCTTTTAACCAATTCATCACTGTTTCACAAGCAGGGTGTGCCATAGTGTAAGAAACGACCCAAAACATTCCAATTGACCTTTCGTCCATTTTCATATAGTCCATGATTCGTTCACCTAATATTTGAAGCATTTGAATAAATAAACAGAAATAAATAAACAGATCCTGTTGTAGACAAAATTAAAATATATAAATGTCTCTCTAAAAGCTTTAACTTTTAGATGAGGTGGTTCAACATAGTATCAAAATTGAAAGATTAGAGTTCAAGACTCATCTCTACCCATTTATGAAAATTATGCAATTGTCGAGCCTTTTGATGAGTGATCCACACTCACGATATTTATACCACTTAATTCATAATTTTGTTACCCTTGAAAAAGTATTGAGTGTTTTTATGTGTATTTTGATGTAGTGATGTAGATTGGTAAGATTGAAAAAAATNTCGAATTTTTAGTCTCATATTGAGACTCATTTTTGACACAGTAAACAATCGAATTGGAGAATGATGTCTAAAATAAAGTTGTAGCCCTTTGAGTTAGCTTTTCAATGCTTCTTGAATCATCTCAATCGGATATCATGAGAAAGAGTTATGTTAAAAATATTGAAGGAAACGTAAACTGAATTTCAGCGATCGGGCGCCAATGCTGAAAATCAGCAGAATACGCGGAGCCCATGCGCCCAAGCGCCGGATACCGAGAAAAGGAAAAAACGCAATTTTTATATTTTTTTGGGCCCGTCACAACTCCAATCCGTGTTATTATCTATTGAGGCTATGAATACAAGTTTGAAGACCTAATGTAAGGAGGGAGAAGACGGCTTAGGAGGCAACACAAAGAATGGAAGAAATCAATTGAAGAAAGCATGGAAATATCAAAGGGGATTTCGAGCAACACTCCAAAAAGAGTTTTTCTTACCTTCTCCTTTATGTTTTCCATTGTAGATTGTTTAGATTTTATGAATTTCTTCATGAGCTAAATAATTTAGCTAGAATTTAATGTAGCCAACTTGAAATTACGGTTTGATGAATACATGAATTATTTCTTTTGGAATTTCCCACTCATATTTAATTGTGTTATGATTATAATGCTAGTCAATTCCAACACTCGATAAAGGGAAATTTAGGCGTGATCATAAGATTGACACAATGTAGGTTTTATTGGTTTCTAGAGAAAGTGTAAAATCTATGAAACTTACTCCACAAAAGAATCAGGATTTTGATAAATTCTAGGCTTTAATTCGGAATAAAGATATTGAGATTGAATTCTATGATTAATTTCTAGCCGACACTCGAGAGATGGGAGAGAAATACAATTGGATTCTTGCTTTTAACTATGGAAAAATTAATTAGAATAATTTGATGTCATTGAATCATAATTGAAAGTTGGTGAAATCATTCCTTAGGCTTTCTCGTTTTGATAATTTATATTCTTTAATTTTGTTGTAGCATTTTACCTTTGATTGGTAAAAAAAAAAAAATCATTCAACCATTCATCTGTCTAGATAAAATAGAAGTTATACAATTATAGTACTTGGTAGAAATTAAATTACAATCCCTGTAGGTTCGACATCCTAACTTTCATACTATATTACAAAACTTGACACCGTACACTTGCGGCATAAATTCACGTTGTAAAAAACGAGTGACACCTTTTGAGAAGGAGGAGAAGAGGAGACAAAGGGTTTTCATATAGCTCTTATGCAAACATATTTTTTGGAGTAATGTTATTCATCCCCAGTGGGGATGGAAACACAATCTATATGGCTTTAAATGATAAGTTAAATGAAAGCTGAAATTAAATGACATATAATTTCACCTATCATTTAATGTCACATTTACGCCATATAGACTGTGTTTCCATCCCCAGTGGGGACGAATAGTATTACTCTATTTTTTGGCAAGGGGGAGTAGGAGGAGGAGTAGACACAAGGGGTTTTCAAATAACTCTTATGCAAATCATATTTACCCCTTCTATGGGGAATATAATTTGGCAAGCAAATTTGAGATGACAATTGACTAGATGTTATTGCAACCCAGTGTTTGCCGATACCTATGCTTGCATAAAACACAAACAACTAAACCCTAAATTGCACATGTACAAATCAATATTCAGCCCAGCATTTCTTCATAGGAATTCTTAGGGCTATAAGATAGCTTCCATGAGAACACAACCAAGATAAAGGGCACAAGAATATAATCATAATTTACTGGCAAGAGGCAGTGTTTTAGAGCATCTGTTAAAAATATATAAAATATAAAATATGAAAAAGATTCTTGTTGAACACATTTAAATATACATGGGACCCTATCTAATAGCTTACGCTTTTTGATTCGCCCTAAGATAATAAAAGTGCTTTATAACTCAGCTCATATGATATCAGAGACTGAAACTAGGTGTACTTACTTTTTCCTTATATTTCGCTTAAACCTAGGCAGATAAAAAAAGAAACCACATCCAACAAAACCATGACATCTCTGCGAGACTCCCCTCTCGCTTATTTTTCTTTTCTTCTTTATGTAACTACAGGTGATTATTCCATACTTTCATCCTCTGTTTTCCCCATTTGATTCGTCCTGTTCCTCTCTCTCAGATTATACCAATTATTTTCACATCATAAGTACACATATCACCACCATCCATGACCACTTCTTCACAGATACAAGCACTTCATAGTGTGCACTATATCAAATTTGGAGATATGGCATGTGTACTCAGAGCACGTAGGGCATTCATGTAAAATAGGCTATAAGTAGTATGAATACTGTAGGAATATTAAGTTATAAAATAACTTATATCACAGTATACAAAGATATCTGATGACTTACGGATTAATACCTTTGCTTACTTGCCTCCACCATTCATCTATTTGCTTCCCCTTTTGAAGCTGCTCGTTGTTCAAATATTCTCTAGTTGATGAATTCAACGACCAAATACGCAAGTTTTGGCAACTGCTAATGAAGTCAAGCAATATACTTTGCGGATTATTAGGGTCCAAGCTTCTGTCTTCTTTATGAAACGAAAGAATCTTTCGGGTTGTCTCCACCTAACAGCAGAACGTAATTTAGAATTCAAAATGGATTCTAAATTGATTGATTTATTTATTGACAACTATCCTTGCAATCAATATTAGATCCAAATGGTTGTTTAAACATCAACAATATTAGTTGGTATATAAAACAAATGAAATGAAATTCTAACAAGACATCCTGAACTGCTCAACAGAAACCCTTAGAAAGAAGGAACATGAAGATTATGAACACGGAGAGTAGAACTCTAGACACACCAGTAGAGATGATAAGAATTTTGTCAGTACAAAATCATATAAGAAACAACCTTTCTTGAGTCTTTATTTAGAGCATTCATCACTAGCTCAACCCTGATAATTTGTGCAAGTAACCACGTGACATGATTTGTCCTAAGAATATGTTGATCACCATCCTGAAGCCGGGAAACTAACTTGTCCACAAAGTCAACAAAATCAAGGCATCCACTTTTCATCAGAAAAAAGAACAAGTCGGAAAAGATAAGCCATTCTTGCCAGCAATTTGTTTCTGCAGATTAACAGTACAAGCAAAATGAAATCATCTACAAAGGAAAAGAGTGAATTGCGCAAGTAAAAAAGCATACAAAACGTAGCTTTCTAAAGAATATAATTAGAGTATGTGGAAAATAGCTGCAATTAGTTATATTCCATTATTGTATAGTTGACCTCATTAGCATAATTATAGTAGTGATCTTGGGGCATAATTAGATGAGATGACAAACTGAAGACCTTAGTTATATAACCCTTTTCTATTTTCTAGTTTTACCTTCACTGATATGAAATTCGTATTAACCACAAGGGATGAAGACCAAACTCTATGTCCGTATGATGTATTCTACCCCTATAGTTTCACAATACTACGGAACAAATTAGGAAAGTTCTATTAGACAAGAATTTTCATTATCTGACAAACATGGTTTACAACAGATTAACAGTGGCTATATCAAATGCAATGTTATAAAGACATGAAAGTAAAAAGAAAACACATTTTTAAACATGCTAAGAGCAAATTAGAGACAAACTAAATACAAAGCAAATGACATGTTTAAAAAGAAAAGAGTATTAAGATATATTACCTGAATTTGTCAGCTTCAGCAATTCCACAATCCTATCAATTGTGGCTTCACAAATCATATCAGAAGTAAAAACAGCACCCGGAGTAGGTCCTTGTGCATGATGCCTATGGCAGGGAGCCAAAAGAAGCACGCGCTTCCACCAGTCCTGAGATGGAGTGTTGCGAAAAGCATGCCTCAAACATCGCAAAGCACGCTCCCAATCGAGACTTCCTCTTTGAATAGATGCTGCAAGATCCTATTCCGAAAAACACACTGATGTTAAATTCAAAGGAACCATTTCGTGTAATTTTCTGATTTAAAAAGAGAGCATAAATATGGTTTCAATCATTCTCTCATTCTAACTTTTCATAGTCGGAGATTTCTAGTCTATGTTTTGTTTCTTCGTCTCAAAAAAGAGCAACGTTTAAAACAAGAGTTTTAGGAAGACTAAGGGCCGATGTCATCTCAAGGAGCTAATACCATCATATTTGGTTCTTAATATATAGGGGATAATGCACATTTAGTTCCCCAACCTTTAGCAATTAGCGCCTGTTGGAAAATCCTTCCATATCTTCAAATACGGAATTCTAATTTCCAACCTTTGGCGTCGGAATATTCAAAATTATACTATTTCCAAATCAAGGGAAGACATAAAATAACTGCTCACAAGTTAACAAAAAAAGGCATCACCTCTCCATGCAAAGGTTCTCCAAGCACACTCGGATAAGTAATTGGTGAATATCTCGCATTAGCCCCTGTTTCACCGGACATGTTTGTAGCCTGCGGCAAAAGCCGAGGGGTTCCAAATGTGGGGCAGTGAAGGTGTTGATCTAACATTTGCATGTGCATTGCCATCATATCTCGCCTCCTGTGAATCTCCAGAATCAGTGTAAACAAGGCCTCATCATCTGGTATATTCTCAATGAACTGCAAACCACTACGAAGAAGTTCATAAAAGGGCACACGGCAATGATCATCCTCAACTAACAGCCAGACCACATCTAAACAACTGTGTAGCCATTCAATTAGGGCCTTGTCAGGTTTCGAGTATTTTATACTGTCAAATTCATCAACTCCCTGTTGTTTTTGGTCCCAGTTAACTAGCCAATTCAACATATGGCAGAAAATATCTGCATGTGTAACAGGCTTTAGATTAGATTCAAGGCCAATCAAAATTATCTTGCAGCACAACTGGCGTAGACTACTTAAAGCACTATCTCGGATTGATAAATTGACCATTGCTGGCTGTTGCCCATTGCAGATGGCATCAGTTGGTTTCGTGGGTGATAATGTGGCACACGATGAAGGTTCCGCTGCTGACTGAGCAGGGGATCCAATACCGTGAACAGAAGGCAAGGGAGATGCAGGATTTGATGACTGAAAATTAGATGTATTAGGAACCACAGCTGAGGATGGCAAGATTCCTGACTGTGAAGAAGTTGTGGAAGTGACAGCTGCTAGTGTTTGACTCCCTTGGCCAACAGACATCTCTGAAGAAGAAACTGAAGAAAGGAGAGACGGCAAGAAAGTATCCCAGTTTATGTAACCTATACTGCACAAACTACGTAAAGCAAAGAGAAGGAACTCAGCCCGAGGTGCATGAATACAACACTGGATAACCAGAGAAATCAAAGCAGATTCTGTCACAGCACGCAGCTGCACTTGGTCCTGGAAAAGATGCACCACGAAGTCAAGAAACAAATTTAATGTAATCAACAAACTATCTATTGATACTACGAGAACTTGTGTCTCAAAGCTTACAGGAAATTGGATTTGTAGCTGCTCAAAATCTAAGAGGAACTGTTCATTTGATGGAGGAAGCTCTCTGTTAAAAGCAGTAATCCGCTTCTGTGTCTTGTTCCTGTGAAACAATTTTATTAATATCCATCATAAGATTTTATCCATACAAAGAACAATAAAAATAAGGGTAGAAATTTTCAAGGTTTATGCATGAAGTACGAATGGTATAATCTAGTTTCCCTATGAGATACCTGCACTATTGAGGAAAACATATATAATGTCTTCTCCATCTTCTAAAAAAAAAGTAAATAAGTAATGTATCATCAATTATGCAAGTAATGAAGTCCAGACTCTAACTTAATTAGTTAACTAATGGATCAAAGTGTTTTCCATCAATTTATTTTGTTAATTAGTGATTCCTCAAGACTAATATTATAAGTCTAAGCAGATGTGAAATAGACATCATCTCTTCAACATTTATCATTTGGTTACCAACAATCTTGAGTTTAGATTCTCTAAAGTTAGTGAGAATTTATATGTTGCTCCTCCCAAACAATTGCACCAATCGGTATAATAACGCGATTACAGTGTTTAAGAAAACATGAAATACAGCAACTTTTTAAGTTCTCAAACATCTCATTTTACTTCATTGGGTACATAAATTCCAATAAAAAGTCCTAACATCGCTTTAACGATAAAGAAATTCACAACAAAAAAAGGTTTCTAATAAAACACAGCAATGACAATTTTCCCAGAAAATGACACGGTTAGCATTAAAAGATCCCCAAAATTTCAGGAAAAAAAATTAAAACTAGCTAGGAAATTTCATAAAGATTAAAAAATACATATATGATAAAGTGATTTACTTACGGAGGCTCTCTAAATGAATCATTTAATTTCTGCTGAGCACCTCTCTGTAAAAACCCCAGAACAAGGAAAAAAACTGAATTGAAACGAAAATCATATGTATACATAACAGAATTGGCGAAAGAGTGAAAACTATTGACATAATCATATTAACACATGATTAACACAGTGATTAGTATTTACGCAGCCTAGATAGAGGTTGAACAGCTCAACGATCGCGGGTCGGGCGGGATGGTGGAAATGGTGGGCCCGAGAAGAGGAGGAAGACGAAGGTCTCTGCTGTTGCAGAGTATTGTTCTGCTCCATTTCGGGTACGGGCTGGCTGGACAGGCCCGGAGTTGTAGGTCGCATCATTTTGGAGTTACTCGTGCTTCGAGGTTTTCGTGTTGGCCGTCCATTTATAGATTTTAGACCGTGTATTGCTTAATTTTAAGAGGAAATTACACCTAGACCTTATTTTAGATATCTATTTTCATAATTCCTATTTTAAGTTTCATTTAGCAAAAATCAGGTTTAAATTAATAATTTAAA